TGACCTTGGACAGATAACTTACCCTCTCTCGGCCCGTCTCCTCCTCTGTAAAATGCGGGCAGGTGTCACCCAGTGGAGGTGCTGTGTGCCTTCAGGGACGGAACACTTAGGCAGCGCTCAAGGCAGGGCCTGGGTACAGCGGGAGGGCCGACTTGGTGACTCCTGGCCACCCTATGCCGTCTCTTCTGCGCCGTGAGAGAGCGGCTTTTCCAGAGGAGGTGAGAGGAAAACTCTTGCGCCCTGGCTTTTCTCTGTTGCACGCTTCCAGCTGGATCTTGTCTGTGAGCAGGGACTTCTGAGATCTGGCTCTGAAGCGTGCAAGGGCTGAGGTTGGAGACCTGGCTGAAGGAGGAACCGCGTGTATTTCCAGCCCCCGTCTTAGCCAGAGAGAGGACCCTTGACGAGCCCCAAGACGGGCGCCTTCCCGTATCCGGCGGGAGGCCAAGGACTATCACGGTGCCTTCTCTTTGGGAGAACGTGGGGGATTGTGAGGTAGGTCCCTCCCTACAGGACGCTAGATAGTGATTCATCGCCATGGAGACAGAATGTTCCTTTGGGTCTAAAGAGGACAAAGGCACGTGTTAGTGAGTGTTTGAATTCCTCCATCTAGTCTCAGGCTCAGTCTTGGCTTTGGCCAATGGAGAGAGACCACCAGGGCTGGCTCAGAACTGTGTATGTGTGTGTGTGTGCAAGCACATGTGTGTGGTTGTGTGTGCACAGGTGTGGGGGCTTGTGCATATGTATGTGCACGTGTTTTGTGCATGCATGTGCGCGCATGTGTACATTATATGCGTGTGCGTGCATGCGTGCATCTGTGACTTAAGGAATGGGCACAGGAAAGATCGCACTTGGCCTTTCCTCTTCCTCCTGCCTGTGTGGGCTGGCGGATACAGAAGGGGAGGCCTGATGGGCCCAGCACCGGCACGAGGGCCCGGAAGACTCAGGTTCTGATCCTGGTTCTGCTGCTGCAAGCTGTGTGACCTTGGGGAAGTCTCCTCAATTTCTTCATCTGTGAAATGGGATAGATAGGCATAGCTGGGGGCGTGGAGGCTGGGCCCCCTGCCTGCCTCTTGGCGGGCACTTGGCAGATGTTGCCCCTCAACGTGGGCTCACCCAGACCCAGGGGACGGTGCCGCGCCTACGCATCTGCACCGCGTCCCTTCTGCTTTCGGACACCGGATGGGTCGTGCTTCCAAATAAGGCTGGCCATGGCCGAAGCTTCTCCTGCCCAGACCGAGGTTTGGGCTAGGGGTGAGGCGGCGGGGCCACGGCCACGACACTCCCGTGGTTCCTCTTGGGGGCAAAGCGTAGGGCTCAGTGGGGCTCATGCAGTCCCGGGAGGTTTTACACCAATCCTGGGAGACGTCACTGCAATCCCGGAGCTTATGAGAGGCTGCTTGCCGAGACTCTCACGGCCAGTTAAGGGGCAGAGTGGAGCCTGGACCCAGAAGAGTCAGGACTTTCTAGAGAAGTTATGTTACTGCGGTCATTTGGTCTCGGGTGTTTCACCAGCGGCCTGGTGCACCTGCTCTGCGCTCCGACCGTGTGCCAGGCCTCGGGACAGAACAGTAAGCGGGGCAGGGGCAGCGCCTCCTTTCTTGGACAGATTCAGTTCTGGTTCCATGGCCGTGTAATTTTAAGGCCTCCACAGAGATAGTCAACTCATCCCCACCCCTGGGTGCTGCCAGGGACATCCCTGATGCAGCCGGCAAGGGTTCCATATCTGCCACCAAGATGGCGTCCAGGCACCGCATTAACGACGTCTGCCACCACGTACGAAGGGTGTGCTTTCCTCCCGGCACTGTGTCTCAGACCACAGGGTGACCTCCTCTCCTGAGAAGCTGGGGTGAGGGGACCCACTCCTGTCGTACAGATGGCGACCCAGGGCCCAGAGGGGTCGAGGGAGCGCAGGGCTGGGCTGTGAACCCCGATGACCCCAGGCTGGCGGGCGCTGCCCGGCCTGGCCTATTTTTAGAGGGCGCCATGTGGGTCAGCTGGGGAGACAATGGAGAATGTGGCCCTCTCAATGGGCCATTGTTCCCAATCGGCTTCAACGCCAGGGCTGGGCCCAGCAGATGATCCGTGGCCCCCACTGGGGCCCAGGCTGTTGCTCCCTCGTCTGTGGATTTTTCCACTGTTTTCCCAGTGTTTATATAGGCGCAAGCCAAGGGTCGGGCACTGAGGGGAAGAGGGAGGGGGCCAGGATGGTGGGCTCCGTGGTCGGGAGACTCCCTCTGTGGCAGGTGATGAGGCAGGAGGCTCAGGAGGATCCTTGTGGTGGGGCTGGGCCTGGGCGCTGACAGGGAGGGGGGGTCCCCTCCGCGCTGTGCCCTGGGTGGGCCTGTGGGCCTCACCTGGTGACCGCTCACGCACCCCGGGACGTTCCATGGTTCTCCCGTCTCACAGACGTGACGGCAGCCTGGGCGCTCCCCCTTGGTTGGTTATCCGGCACCCCACTTGCTTGCTTCAGGGGTCTTCGGGGTGGGGGCTGGAAGCCCCCACATCCCCGTGCTTGGGATGGGGGAGGGGGCGGCTTCTTGCTAAAAGCACGGGTACCGTGCTCCCCGTTCTGGAGGTGGAGGCTGAGAACTGGGGCGTATTTTCTTATTTTTGAGCCAGGTTTCCCAGATCGACAGCCCAGCCGTTGACCTCAAAGGATGCTGGGGGTGGGGGCTACCCTGCTCCCCTTCCCACCCTGCCCCTCCCCCCTCAGTGGGTTCTACACCCTCTTTCTTGCTGTTCCCAGAGCACCATGTCCGCACGTAGCAAGCTCTTGCCACGTGTTACTGCAGGCCTGGGGCCCACCCCGCTACCCCAACACTAGCTTGTGAGCTCTTACCGACTCCTCTCGGCACACGCATACAGTAGGTGCATAATAAATGTCTTTGGGTAAAGTCACCCTGGCTTAAGTGGAGAAGGAGCAGGGGTGGGATTTGGTCCCCAGCCTGGTAGACTGCGTGCGTGTGACTACATCACTCTGCCTCAGAGGTGACCCTTCACAGGCCTGAGATCAAGGGGCTGCAGGCACAGTCCCTCCTGCCGTGTCCTGTGGGCCTCCCGGCATCCCCCAGGGCTGGCAGGTCCCAGGCCCATTTCCATTGTGCAGGCAGCTGGGGGAAGGGGCTGCTTGCCCAGATCCACAGGGGTCCTAACTTGGGGGGGTCTGGCCTGTTTCTTCTTCTCGCCCGTGAGGGCGGGACACAGACCTCTCCCCTGCACTTGGTCAGTGACCGATATGATTCACATCTAGGCTGGCTTCTGGGAGCAGGTTAGACGGCGTCTGGAGTGTTCCCTCTTTGGGAAATGAATGTCAAGTGCTAACCTAACGTGGCCTCCTAAGGAGGGAACATGGTTTGAGTCCTCGCGCCTCTCAGACTGTGAGGGAGTAAGAAGCATGTGGGGAACACTGGCCTACCGGGTGGGTGGGTCCTGACCGTGACTCTGGGCAGCCGACTTGGCTTCCCTGAGCCAGGGTGGCAGCATCTGCCAGCTCGGGGATGTGCCACCCTCGCAGGGCCCTTGTAGGGATGCAGGGCGTAGAGGGAAATGGCTCAGCGCCTCCCCTAGAACGTGGGAGCTCTCAGGGTCCTGTCCCCAGCATGCTGGTGGCCTTCCCCGTGCCCGCACCAGGTAGGAGGAGAGCCAGGAGTT